TACATTAGATATTAGATAGATTTATATAGATAATAAATTTGAACATTTATAGTAATAAATATATTTTTTTCTGAGATAGATACATAGATATATAAATAGATAGATAGATATGATATGAACAGATATTATAAAATTCTCTGAACCATATTTAGATCAATAGATAGATTTTAAGATAAATTTTTTTTTGATTTCCGATATGAATAGAACCAGATAGATAGATAAATTAATAGATGTTTTGTTTTAGATATTATATCATTTTAATATAACATTTCTTTTATGTTCATTTTAAAGTGTCTTATGAAACATTCCCTGAAGAAATGGAAGAATAAACTTAAAACAGGTGATAAGAATAAAAAAAAAAAAATCACGAACCTGAAATAAAATGAAATGGAACGAACGATAGAATGGAAAGCATTTAATAAAAATCGAAATGGAATAAAAAGTATTTTGCCTTATGTTTATAAATTTAAAAATATTTAATGATTTATATAAAACCAGTTATGTTTTCCTTTCGCGAAACACGAAAAAAATTAATTTTTTTGAAAAAATGCGCAAAAATTAATGAAAAACTCATTGCTAATGATAAAAAAATGAGATTTTGTTTGTTTGTTTAATAGGCATATCAACACCTCATTTATTTCAATTAATGCTTTAATTTTAATTTTTGGGAAAACTAGTAATTTCTTTTTTTTAATTTATTTATTGCATTTTTTTCATTTTTTTTTTTTTTTTTTTTTTTTTTTATTTTTTTTTTTTTTTTTTTTTTTAAAAAAAAATAGTTCTGCTGGTAAGTTTTTACTATGAAAATGTATTTTCATATTTTCATTTTTTTTGACCCCTTTTTTGGGTTAACTATTTTTGATAGCTGGGACCCTAACAGGTGTTAACCCCATAAGGGTGATCCTGGAGACAATTAAAATAATTAATTGGTTTCATTGCATGCTCTTCAAAATGGTATTGATAAGATTTTTGTTGCTGGATGTAGTCTATCGTCATAAAGGACGAAAAACTGTAAAAAACACAGAGGTCAACATGAGTAAGATAATATACAGATACACTTTGTGCAAATTAATTGAAACAACCGCTTTAGTTTCCTTTCTTTCACCATCCGGTCAGTTTTAGACCCACTGGAGTGACAGGGTGTAATCGATTTCTATTTTTCCCTCAGATTAGGTCATTTGCAATGGTGTGCAGTAATATGAATCTATTTTTTCGGGTGTATGATGAAATTTGTTTGGCCTTGAAAAATATTGCGTCATCCGTGATTGAATCAGATTTTTATCACACCCAGACACTATTGTCTAGACTGTCGATTAGTTGTCCTACGGCCATTGTCTGCGATGGACGTTACTCCAAGGAAGCGTACGAAAATGGTAACGCTGCACGAACACACTGGCAAGCCTTACCAGTGAGCAAATCAAAGTACTATATAGACTGGCCCGGAAACTCTCCTGATTTAAATCCAATCGAGAATCTGTGGTCAATCTGCAAGGAACGACTTTCGTGGAATGGACATACGAAGTACTAACATGTGCACTGGGTCATGTTTCATTGGAAAAAATACGAAAAAAAAGTAAATAATAACGGAATTATTTTTTTTGTTTCAATTAATTTGCACAATATATATATATATATATATATATATATATATATTTATTATAGAGAGAGAGAGATTTTATTAAAGAGAAATTTTATTTTGATTTTCAATCCTGTGATCTGAGAGAGAGAGATTGGCATATTTTAATTTTCAAAGTTAAATTAATTTTGATTGCCCATTTTTTTAATGTTTTTCTATGTTGTGGAATCTTTAAATGTTTTTTTGAAAATTTTATCCCATGAAAATAGCAAATTAAAACAATGCACCCCCTATTTTTTTATTTTTCCGTAAAAAATTTTTTCACCATTTTGTTCCACGCGAAGTACACGCATTTTCTGATTTTTTAAATATATACAATTATTAACTTTTAAGAGAAAATTTCTGGACCGGAACGAAGTCTCTTATATCCGGTTTTAATCTTATATCCGTGTTTGGTCTATTTTTTTTAAGAATCTATGGTTTTAATTTGGGAATAATAGAAAAAATTTCTCTTATATCCGAAAAACTTATATCCAGGTCTCTTATATCCATTACACTTACATAAAAAAAAAAGTCATTAAACAATGTCTTGTGAATGTACGTTATCATTTTTTTTTTTTTTTTGGGTGAATAATTGCAAAATAAATACAAAATAATTTTAAAAATAATGTTCCATGGCTTTTTTTAAAATTTATCCAGCAATAATTAACAAATATTTTTTTCTACAAATCAAAATACTCTTTATTCAATCATCGGTGTGTGTGTGTGTCAGGTTATTGTGTGTGTGTGTGTATATGTGTGTGTGTGTGTGTTAAAAATTTTTTTATAGATAAAAATATTTAAAAAATGCTCTGTTTATAATAAAGAACGTTTTAATATTTGAAACCGGCCTGAAGAAATCAGAAATTGTCATAGTTTATTCGTCCTTTTCTTTGAAAAATTTTCTCGGAAATTCAAACAAAAAAACAAGAAATTATAAATTGTTTGTATAATTTTACTTAAATATCTGTATCTATAAAAAGAACGTATTAACATAAAAAAAATGTTTCTTTTCTTAAAAATAATTGTCCGAAAAGTTCATTGCATAATGTCTGACGTCATTTGTTTACATTTGGATACGCATCGAGCAGATATGAATGTACGAGAGAAAATCATGGAAAATTGTTTTTAAAAATATATAAAATCGATTTTGCTAAGTAAAAACGCTCCTCTGTGGCTCAATCGGTAAAAGCACGTCAAACTTATATGACTGTTCAGTATAGGATACAGGTTCGATTCCTGTCGGAGGACGCATATTTTCTATGACAATTTCTCGGACATTCAGGCCGGTAAAATGTCGTTAATACTGTTTATTATAAACAGATAATTTACTTAAATATTTGTATCTATAAAAAATGAATGTATAAACATAAAAAAAAAATTAAAATGATTGTCATTATTTTATCCATTTCATAATATATATTGTGTGTCTACGTTTATATATACACATTTATAAACAATGCATAAACACACACACACAATAAAATTTTAAAATTTTTTTCAAGTCGTCGAATTTAAAAAAAACAGATCGATTTCGTTGCATTCACTTTCTCGCAGATAAACTTTTTAAAGAAAGTTTGAATCCATCTTTATTAAAATCTACATAAGGTTAAATAGCAGGAGCGACTGAGTTCTCTTGTCTTGATTGGTAACCAGCCTAGTAGAAGGATAACTATGAATTCAAACATCGGGGAGGGTTATTTGGAGACTTCGTGCCACACCTTTTTGCCCGTTCTCTTTTATCAGAAAACTGTGGTTGATTCTACGCAAACCTTCAGCGCTAGAGTCAAACCATATATGTAGGTCGTCTTGCGATTCTGTTCTAAAAAACTGAAAGTACGTCGTAGTCGACTTAACCTCACACACACAGGCTCAAACACACACACAAACATATATATATATATATACATTTTAACACATATATATATATATATATATTTTTATTGAGGCAAAATAGTCCATTATTCAAATATATTTTTAATATAACAGACAACTTTTGTTATTATGTTTGATCATGATAATTTAAAAGCTTCATATAGTGGCTTTTTATTTCAGTCTAAGAATATGTCCATACAACCACTTTTCATGAACGTTCATGTGAAAAAAAAAAACTTAAAAGATTGACGAACAGGATAATAAAAATATATCCCAAATTTTGATTTTGTTGTCTTTATTTTTTAACGAAAATTAAATCCACTATACGAAAAATAGAATGTATAATGATCATACCTCATAATAGATTTTTGTTGTCTGTTATATTTAAATATATGTTTGATATATATATATATATATATGATGTATTGTGTGTGTGTGTGTGAGTTGTTTTCACATTAGCATTTTAAGCATCATTTATAAATGTCCAATATATATATATATATATATATATATATATATATATAAAGATAAAATTTAAATTTAAATTGAGTTTTTGTTCACGATGTGTTTTTGTTTTCTTGAAAAATATTGTCAGTCTCCGCTAAATGTAATGCAGGTATATATATATATAAATATATATATATATATATATATATATATATATATATATATATATATTTTGATTTCTAATATTAGAAAAATTCAAAATTTTTGAAAAATGTGAGGATCGAACTCAAATAATCTCAATAAAACAAAATTTCTCAACGCCGGTGTGCCTGAATAAAAGAATTTAATGAATTTCAATAAATTTTTTGTGTATTTATATGTATTTGTGAATATCTGCGTGTGTATATATTGTATAATGTTTGTGTGTGTGTGTGTGTGTGTGTATGTTATTATGCGTTTTGTGTTGTTTTGTGTGCATGTATGTTTGTGTGTGTGTGTATGTGTGTGTGTGTGTGTGTGTGTGTGTGATTTTGTTATTTTCTTCTCCCTTTGTTTTTTATATTCACTTCCTTCGTAACTAAATGTTCCTTTTAGTCTTCCGTTATTTCTTGGAAGGTTTTTTTCTCAACATCGTATAAATAAATTTGAAGTGAATTTATTAAATGGCTGTCATTTTTGATATACTGATCGCTGAAAAAATAAATAAAAACCTGGAAAGACAGGAAGAAAAAAAAATATTTATAAACAAAAAAAACGGACTGTATCAATTGTTGGTGAGCCTTAACCCTCACATGGCCAGGTGGTTATCCGTATATGGGTCATAATTCTAAAATCACATGTACAAAAATTATTGTCAATTTTTATAATTTTTAAAATTTTCATGTGTTGACCTGTCGTTTTTTTTTTTTTTATTCATTCTTTTCTTTTTGTTCTTGATAACGGGATATATGAAGAACTTTTAAAAAATATTTAAATAAAAAAAAAAAAAAAAAAAAATAGATAATCCAATATAAAAAATATTTATATAATTTATTTTTTAAATTATTTGATAGATATTTAAATT